CAAGTCAAGATGGAGATTGGAGAGCTCACTGAGAAGGCCCTTCCTGGGTTGGTGCAGGAGCTAGGGGAGCTCCAAGCAACAAGTATCTTGAAAGGGGACTATGAGTTGAAAATAGCAAGACAAGACTACTTCACATCCAAACAAGAGCAGGTGGGTTTTTTTTTTCTTTATTCCTCTCATGTTTGCTCACATGAGGCTTTCAACATTCTGATCATAGCAGTGTATAGGACGCGTGACATCTATGGACCTAGAAAAAGTCAGTATCATGGTAATTTAGTGTTAACAACTGAGTTGAAAACGTTAATTTGCTACCGTAAAGGGTAGAAAAGCTGACGTTTCGAGTGTTAGCCCTTCGTCAGAGCGATTGATCAAAATTCCTCCATCAGAGGTTTTGACAAAATTGCGATTTGCTTTTCCAACAATCTTACTTCTTTTGTTTGTTAGGTCATCACCCAGCTGTTGCTTCAACGTTCTCGGCACGAGTTTCTCTCAATGGCACTTGAGGTTGAAGGACGCAAGAACCGTGACATTCATCGTTTGTTTAGCACTTTGGAGAGTACACTTGGTGATGCAGTCAATGGAATTGATGCGCGATTTGTATCCTGTACATACAGTGACCAATTCTTTCAAGAACAATCGCAAAATTTCACAAAAAAGCACACCTCTCTTCTTGCTGGTAACATTTTCAAGTTGAGCTTCAATCATGGCACAAAATATGAGGAGGCCTTTGCTTTTATGCACCCTTACGTTGTCAATTGTAATCTCTCAAGCGCAGTTGTCGTACTGAGTGAAGGGGATAGGTTTCTAAAGAAACTGCTATGCTGTGTCGGTGGGAGAGTATAACAAGGTAATTTGGTATTATCGAATTAGTTAATGATACCAAATTACCCTGTCATATTGAGTGGATTGGAGGGGACGTTTATACCACCGATGGTGACATTGTGCGGTGCTACATTACATACAGTACCTTAGATTGTATACGTGAGCACTGTAACATGAGAAGTTTTTTCAGTGTGAATCAAATGATGGCACATGGCTTTAAACATTATTGTTTACGGAAACGAAACTTCGAACGTCTAATATGGGGTAGTGAGTGCACATGACCTTTTACATGCTTAGATACCTCTTGACAGTTACAATGCCCTCAGTTTAGGTAGTTTCACGGATAGCTTTTAGTACTGTATTTTCTCGCTTGAGAAGTAACACACTATGTTAAGCTTATTACCTTAACAATTTCCAAAGACAATTATGGACGAACATGCCCTTCACCCTCCCCACCCATCCCGTGGGACAATTGACAGCCGAGACCATTTTATGGAGGGGTTGTATCGTGTTCTTGAAAGCTCACCCAAAGGGGAGGAGGAAAGCAAGAAGGAGATTTTTCTAGCGTATAGTCAGCTTGTGGAATGGAGTCAGCAGTTAGCTGGACAGCTGGAATCATTCACTATGTCCCTGGCCACCTCGGGCAGCAGACAGGAGGAAGCCTGGAAACAACTGTAAGTTCTCATCATTCGCTTGTCTTATGTTTTGTTTGAATAAACTTGTGTATTTTAACTTTAAAGTAACTTAGCGACTGGCCATAATTTATGGTCTGGGGGAGGGGGGAAAGGAGGATATTGGTTGTGTCACAGTACAATTTAAAAAAATGTCCTTATTTCCTAAGTTTTTTTAACTTGGAAAGCTGAAGGCGTTATCATTACACAGTCAAGGAGGGTTCCATGGAATCTGTACCGCTGGCAGTTATCGCTATGACGCGACATCCGTAGCAGTTTTTAGACTCAAATTGTCGGATTCTGGGTGTTCTTGTAGAGATTTTAATTATGACAGATGGGGTAAAGTGAGACTGGTTGTGTGAAGGGAATACAAAGACAAGTTTGCATAATTTAGTGACGCGTTGAAGTTTACTGTTTGCGTGCGATGAACAACACGCCATACATGTGCAGTGAGATGCACGAGCGTCAACATGCAGCCACTGACCTACATGTGTGAGGCTCAACAACGTAATGGTATTTCTGAAAGTATCATTTAATGGTAGCTGAAAAAACTAAACATGTTCAGCGTCGATCAGTAACTAAATCTTTTAACACTATTATAGGGAGAGTAACCTTAAACAGGGTATAAAGACGATGTATGGAGAATCTGCCACGACTGGTGGTCTTCCTCAGTTGAGTCCACAGGTAATGATCATCCTGCGATAAAAACTAGGTTATCTTAAACACCGTTTAAAGCCGCGGTTTTAACGCGGTTGTGTGACACAAGCATAATCATTTTCAGGCTACGTAACCTTAAACGCCTTTTAAAGCTGCATTTGACCGCAGTCATCTTACGTACAGTATTCCACCACGGCACAAGCATAATCCTCTTTGTTAAAGAACGTTCGGTCATTTTCTAACGTTAATAGAATGTTCTTTGAGCGTTTAATGACTTAAATTTACTTTGCTTCCTTTTCAGCGTATTGCGGATGGTCTCAGTCAGCTTGATGAACTTCTGGTCACCTTAGAGAAGTCCATTAAAGATATTATCAAAGACTGTGAAGCCAAGAAAAAGGTAAAGCAACGAATACTTTCATTGTGGACAAACTCTTCACTGAAGTGGTGGAGAATTTTCAGTGTCGTAAGTTAAGTTTCCGTGACGTCGTTTTGATTTTTTTCGTCTCCAGGTCCTTCGCTCTGACAACCTGAAGCTTATGGAAAGGGAGCTGTTTATATATTTCTTCACAGACCCTCCACGTCTGAAACGTGCCATCGCTGAGTTATCAGCCCGCGTAGACGCGCAAATAGTCTCCTCGAAATGAGAGCTGTGTACTTCTTAATGAGGTAAACAGCTGCATTGACAACAGCCTCTGCTCAAAATACGAGCCTTTAAAAAACCAAGGTTTTTTTACTACGTTAAGACGCATAGGGAAAATAACTTTACTGAAAGGTCTCCCGCTGTGTTCCAAGTTGTGCGTATTTTAAAAAAGATGCTCATGAAAGCCGCAAAGTGGTTCTCTTAAAACTACCCGCGGATCTGTGACACACAATCCACAATTCCTTTATTCGCTCCGCCCAAGTGTTAACACCAGCCTTAGAAACTCTTTCACGTGGCCAAATTAAATTATCAACTCAGTTGGTAAAACCAAAGTAACTTATCGTACTTTCACCAACGCAGCACCACAGTTTCTTTAGAAACTTACTCCCTCCCCTCCCCTCCCTTTATACAAACAGATCTACTCGAGAGGAATTGAACAAGGCATTTTCAAGACTTCAAATACAGCGTCCTAAACCTCTTGTTTCCTGCAGGAAACGAGGTATTTGATCGGTCCAAACTCACGAAACAACACTGGTCATTATCAACAGAGATCCTGGGTATGACGGGAAAGTGAAAAACAGTATCCTTAGATACTTCAACTCGTTGTAGCGGTTTACTTCGTCAGTGACTGTAAATATATATTGTCTAAATCGTCATACAGACCGAGTACATGATTCCGTTATCGGGAACGCCTTTAGAAATATTGTTCATGA